GCTGCGTGTTGCGTCGGGTTCTTCCCGTCGGAAAGTTTCGTTCACGCCTCTGAAAACTTGTTTTCTCTTCCTGTCCGCTCTCCGCTGTGCTGCTTTTCGTGTTGGCCAAGAGTTAATATCTGATGCCCGTTTTACGTCTCTTCAGAGATAAGCCAAAACCCTCCTATTCCGTCGGTTCCGCTCCGTTGTGAGTGCTCCCACGCGTTGATCGCAGCTTTGTCGTAGCACGGCGTCAGTCACGTCAAGCGCAGGACGTGTTTTTCCCTTGCAGTGCCCTAGCGGTGGTATAGTGATTGCGTGTAACCGCCGATTGCGCAGGTTCAGGCAGTGCGCTCGCACCGAAATTGACATGTGCACGGGCATGTTTAAAACATTGAGCTCACACTTGAAGCTTCTGCTACTCTCGCATCTAAACTGAAACGGGGTTCGTACAAACAACAAGGAAGTCTGCTTGTGTACGGATAATTGCAACAAATTATTAGTACACTATTTTTCCTCCACTTCGTTGACGCACACTTATGAGCCCTTTTAGGGTGCAAAACATCTGGTACTTCACGCACGTCGTTGTAATGTATTAAAACGTACAAACTTCCCGGTAACCCGCATTTTATCCTTTCAAAGCAACATGGCATACTGCTGTATGCCCCATTGCTGCTCTGACTCCAAAAAGAAGCTCAAGGGGTGTCATTCCACGAAATTCCAGCAGACTTGGAGTTGAGAGAGGCGTGGATCAGTCATCCTGTGAGAGCCGTGAAGAGCAGCTACTTCGAAGTGTTTTGCCCGATCAAACATACTACTTGAGCCAATAAAAATAAACATTGCATTTTGAATTATGAACTATTGGACTCAAATATACATGGTATGTCTCCTCAGACGCATGCAGTAATTGAGGTATAAATAGAGCATTTTAAAATATTCCAACTGTCGATTCATACACTTCTGTCCTCTATAATAAGTATTAAAAAAAGATCAAAAAGGGAATGCCAAAAGGCACATGTGTTTTATACTTACTTTAATCAATTCACTTACAGACGTCTGTATGCGTGGTTCAAAGAACCACTACGTCACGCGCACTGCTAAAACTTTGTGATCTTGGTGCGCGAAAATTCCGAAAATAACCTGTCATGTAGTTTTTCTCAACAAGTGTTAAAAGTGCTATGGTAAGGGCTGCACGCTTTCACTTTTTAACTTCAAATTCGATTAATTGACGGCACCCAAAGATAGCGGCACGCTTCAACTTTATTCTGTTCAGGTTTATTTTTGCGGTTGTAAAAACGCAGAGCTTACACAAGAGCCTTGCTCAGAAGTAAACGGAAAGAACCCGGCTAGAAAGGATGCTGCGCTAAATTACCCAAGCTTCTAAGTGCATACGGGGACTGTAGGTACGCATACGCAGCACATGCGGCTTCAGCAGCAGTAATTGTTTTAAAGAAAAGGTCTAGATGAAATAGAATGTTGTCCGCACATTTGTTGGCACCTTATTTTTTTTCTTTACTTCGAATCTTTCCTATACGCAAGGCGAGCGCATGCAGATCGTGTAGCTACACTCGCCATATGCCCGAGGGAGCTAAAACCCGTTTTCTAAACATCTTGGCATGGCTTGCAAGCGCTTCTAATAGCGTTGCGTCTTTTGCATCGTCTGCTACGGCAGCAACATTGGTGGCGCCCCCACAATCGGGCACGGCGGTGGCGGGCGACTTTTTCGACGGCACCCACTACTGTCCTCCCCTCCGTCTGCCAGGCACAGAGTATACAGGCAGCTTTGGTGGAGTATGGCGTATCCACTCAAGAAGCCATTGGTATTCACTAGAAAAGCTGTAAACGTTTTGCAAACCTGAGGTTCAAAGACCAAACCAAAGGGTTAGAAAAGTTTGCAAACTTTCGAAACGTGAAACCTATTACATAGAACATTCGTCGATTTTCTAACTTTCGATTTTTTGGTGCTGAGAAATTCTATAGCTTTTTTAACTTCCGATTTTTCATGCTAGTTAATTCTACATTTTCAAACTTACTGCAGTTAGAAATTCCTCAATTTTCAAACTTTCGAACTTGATAAGAGTTCAAAAGTTCAGCGAAAATCGAAATTCTGAACAAAAGTTTGACAAAGTTTGAACCAAGCTCACCCCAATAAGTTCCAGGCAACAAATATAGCTCACACAACATGTCAATGTGTGAAGTGGAGTTGAAATTGCTCTAGGAGTTTTACCCTTAGCTGACCGTGCTACAAAAAACACACTTATAAAGCGCTGAATGATCGCTTTGGGGTTTGCCTTGTACCTTAAGCCTTTTTCTTTCGACTTCCGCACGGAGCCTCCCCCGCGCACAACTCCGCGGGTTTCCCCGAGGTAACCTGTAGGGCAACAGATCCCTGATCTGCAAACTTCAAGCTCAACCGAGGCGCTTCGCCTGGAGCGTCCTTCGTAGCACTTGTTGTTTTTGACCGCAAGAGCGACGCTGATGCGCTACAGTGAACGCTGAAACGGCGCTTACTTCATTATCATTAGGAACCGGCTGCATTTTAGAGTGGCCAATATCTCGATTCATCGAAGAAGAAAAGTTCCAGGCAGCGGCAATATGGCTAGCCCCATAACAACCGGTCGTGACATGATCAGCAGTATTAGGCCATGTGGTTCTCTAATTTAGTCTGGTTGTGTTCTCCTCAGCCTTGACTTGTGTCGGGTGCTGTGTCTGTGTTCAGTGTCTTCTCCATTCCACAAGTAACCCCGCCGAAAATAAACGCCTAGAGAAACTAAACATTTGCGGGAAGCCGGATGCCTTTATGTGAATGCGTTGTACCGCAATATCTTATACCAGCATATCTTATACCAGCATTGCACTTAGGCAACGTTTGATCACTCTGCTACTAGCTTGCAAATAACTAGGAAGTATGTTCATCTGATCGCCTCAAGGCTTTCAATGAACCTTCCAACCAGTTCAATGCTTGTTTCATAAGTTACCACAATAATGGGTAATAGAAATACTGGGACCGTCGGTACCACAGCACCGAGAAGCAAGGAGTATATTCATGGCGTAAGGGCAACGTTTTCAGTAAAATTTGTAGCACATCTCGTTCTTTTTTTTTTAATTAATTTATGAAAATTTAGTTTGAAACTGCGGAATTAGATTTCCATTCATGAAATTTAGACTTGGAACTTAAAATCGCAACTTTTAAACTTTTCAATCTTGTACCTCAAAGAAATTCAAAATATTCTATTTTTCCAAATTGAATCTCGAATAAATTTTAAGTATGCGAAAAAATTCAAAATACTCCATTCTTCTAACTTGAATCTTGAATAAATTCAAAGCATTTTAATTTTTCGAACTATCTAAAAAAAATGTGATATCTTCGTCTTTTAGAAACCTTAACATTTTCGAATAATCCACATTCAAACTTTAGCGGGGTTCTAAAGTTGCAAACTTTTCAAATTCGAACCTCGAGAGGTTCATACATTCTGAAACCTTTCGAACTCGAAATTCAGGAGGTTCGCGGCTGATGTGTCGGCAGCACAAGACTCTCATCATCGCCACCGACCAGCAGAAGCTCCTGATACTGAGCGCGTGCAGGGTGCGCGCTCGCTCTTGTTCTTGTTCTGGATTTCCTACCGAACTGTCATCTGGCCCTTTGGGCTTTTGCTTTTATTAAATACTCCGACAGCCGGCGACGGCTGCTCGGACATCACAGCAGCATCCCTAGTATTCACAGACGCGAACCAATGCTCACTTCACAGAGTGGCTACTCGAGATATCTCCCTCCATTCTAAAGTCCTCAAAAAAAAAGTCTGGAAATGGGATTATAACAATATACCTACCGCATGAACTGTAACACATCCAAAATCTCAAGGTCACTTTTTACGCGGACGATATTACCTTATGGAGCCCCAAACCGGACTCCCTGGCCAAGCTCCAAGATGCACCCCAGGAAGCTGCAAACATCATTACCAAACATGTGCACACCATGGGCCTCAGATGTGCGCCCCAGAAGACAGAACTACTCCTCATAAAGAGAGGAAACTCTCAAGCTCGGACAGTCCAACAAGTCTACCTCACTAAAGAAGGACAAAAGATATACCCAACAGACAAGCCAGTCCGACTCCTGGGCCTCCACATACAAGCCAGCAACAGATGAACTCATCAAATCCACCTGCTCAAGCAACAATTGGACCAACTAGGCCATATGATTCAAAAAGTGACCACTGGAGATAGGGGAATGAGGAAAGCAGACACTCTTCGCCTGGTGCAAGCCTTCGCCATATCCCGCATAATCTATGTGGCTCCCTACATGAATCTCCTCAAATGGAACAAGCCCCATTGAAAACTATCATCTGAAAAGTCACCAAAACAGCCCTACATCTTCCAGCCTCGTCATCCAGGCAGAGACTCATGGAGATGGGCACCCAGAACATGCTCACAGAATTGGTTGAGGCCCACCGTGTCAACCAACTATTCAGACTCGGCAAAACACTTCCAGGAAGGGCCATCTTCTCCCAACTCAATCTCACCCCCATCCATGTCGAAAAAGAGTCCGGGAAATCACCACCCACTTGGAGGTCCCTTATCGACGTCTGCCTACTTCTCAAGAACATGCGCCCCACAAAGCACAAGGGAAGGCGAGAACCATGTGCCAAAGTGCTCAACAAGGTGCTTCAAAACAAAACCCCTAAGGCCTCCCATCCCAGCACCGTCACGGGAGCACGCCGCAATGGCAGGATTGGATTGGATCAGATTGCGACGACTGATTAACAGATAGGGAGAATTCTATTCATTCTATTCTAATAGTTCTTTTAAATGTCTGAAATGGCAGTGTATACACTTATTTATTCAACTTAAATTACAAAATAAAGAGATAATTGTGCCTGAACACTACTGCACATATTCCTTGTTTTGTACATTAAAGGATCAGGCACACTTCAATGGTGACGGCTGGCAACAGGACAGATTTGTTTATGTTTATATCTGTACAATCAAGGCGCGCGATTGCACACAAACGAGAAGCCATGGTTAGCCACGCAAACCATGGATCTTCGTTTGTCTTCCTGAGCACAGTTCAGCTGATGTAGCTGCTCCGCAAAAGAAGAGCAGAGCGCGCAAGGAGGGCCAGGCGGCCGAGGAGTGTGTGGATGCGGAAGATACGCCAGCATCACAAGTCCCGCCACTCGGGAACGCTGATTCCTATGCTGCGAGAATCAGATACGTGGTATTGCTCCGAGTAAGTAGTGTCTTGAGCTTTGGTGAACGAACCTTATCGTCATATAGTACTTGCAGCTACATGAGGATGTTGCCGTCAACCTTCGATCAACTCCTGACCTTGGTTGAAAGCTCAATCCAAAGGCAAGACACAAACTGGAGAGAGTGCATTCCCGCAAAAACTCGGCTGGAAATCACGCAAATATATTTTCAGGCAAGAAGAAAAAAAAAAAGCACCAAGGAGCATGCGGGGAGTGCAGTTCAAAGTACACAACAAAAGTAAGGCGGCAACAAAGGCTTGTAAAACAATACATTCATTTGATATGTTTGCTCTAAAACATAGCAGCTGCAGATTACAGTACATGCTCCTTGATGATTGGGCCGTTTAGTAATGTTGTCTTGGTCCCCATGTGTTGTTTGTTGGTCTTAATCCCGATTCGTAGTAATCTGACCGATTTTATACCAACTCTTCACAAAATAGTATCTTTGAAAAATTCATGAGGTTGGAGAACCACAGATTTTGCTGTCGCTGTCCAGAACTCATCTTGCGCTGTCCGTTATTTTTTTAACAACTCTTCGCAGTACAGTGTCATTGAAAAATACAGAAGAAACATGAGATTTTAGACAAGCTAATTTTATTGTGGCTGTCTGGAACACGCACTGTTTGTCATCATGTCATAGGAAAGGCGGCATGACTAGTCGCCAGATATAGTGCAACACTTATGACATTAAAGCTACAGTCTTAGTATTTCTGGATCATCCCTAGCATATCTCTGTGTTCTGAGGCCATGTCGCTTCTTAGATCCTTACGATGAAAACAAACAAATAGCAAAACAAACTGCACAAAGGAGACGGAGCAGCAGTAGCAGTGCTGTTATCAGGCCGCAAAACCAAAGAACAAGTCGGATTTGTGGCTGGGCTTTCTGGTTCTTAAACAGCGGTGTGAGTTACATTCATGATTAATGACCATGTATGTGAAACTATGCACATGCTTTCTGCCTCAACACCCGCACAATCTGTGACACTACACACGAATAAAGGGCTTGCTCACTATTCAGTTAGCTAGTTGCAGTAACTAATACATGGTTGGCCTATCGCAGATAATATATGGTTGGCCTATCGCAGATTTCCCCCCAGCGGTGATAGCCAGCGGAGCCTGTCCTTTGCATTTAATGTGGCAAGATCGACCATATCCGAAATAATCTCCAAGACGGCCCAGGCAATTTGGGAGAACCTAAAGGACGGGTACGTGAAATGCCCAAGAACACCCGAAGAATGGAACGACATTGCCAGGGGCTTCCTACAATGCTGGAATATATCAAATTGCATTGGTAAGTGGTACAATCATGTCTCATTACTATGGATGCTTTCGTTTCCCCAAAAAATCGCCCATAACGTGAGTCATCCATAATAATGAATCAAGGTCAAAAACAAATATTAAGTACCATGTTCAAAGCGCCAAATCTTACACAGGGACAAACACAAAGGAGACGAAAACAAGACATCTTGTTTTCGTCCTTTTCCTTGTCCCTGTGTAAGTTCCGGCGCTTTGAACGTCATAATGAACCAACTATACTTCGTTTCAGCCTCGGTCCGAGCGCGGCCGATGTTATGAGCTGAAGGGCCAATCAAACAGCGAAAGAGGCACAACGTCATAGCGTGCTCTCTGCAGTTGATAGGACCAGCGTGCTCTCTGTGCGTGCTCCTTCGGCTAGTTCTATCAAGCGCAGAGCGCGCGCCATGACGTTGCGCTCTTTACGCTGTTTGATTGGCTCTTTTGCTCGTAACATCTGCCGCGCTCGGGCGGAAGCTGAAACGAAGTATAGGCCAGTTTCGCTATTCTCAATATTAAGTAGCAAGTGCAGCGGACAAGCGTAGCTCTGTCCCCTCACGCTTCATAATAGTGTTTTCTCTTCAACTGACCAGTGAAGCGCACGGCCTTGCCTTTTATGCCCACGAATGTGATTGATCCCAGATCTCATCCCGGAAGGGGGCGACATACCTTTCAGCTGTGAAGTCCTCGAGAACGTCAGGCAGCGATTGAAATCAAATTCTGCTTCCGTGAGCTGAGATTCAGAGCTCTCAGGACCCCAAGAAACGAAACGAGCAAAGATGACGTTGGACGACTTGAATGGGAAAATGTCGACAATCAACTTCAAGTACTGAAGGACCTGACGAGCTCCAGCGATATTTGAAAGCAGACTTTTCAAATGTCAGTGAGAGCAAACTTCTGCCCTTTTGGAAGCGCCATCAGAGTAAGTTTCCAAGACTATCTCTACTCGCCAAGCAGCTACTTTGTGTGCCCGCCATGAGTGTTTCCAGTGAGAGGAACTTCAGTGCTGCTGGCTATCTCATCCAGAAAAGGAGAACCCGTCTAAAGCCAGATACAGTAAATAATCTTCTATTTTTGCACGAGAACCTCTAAGAACACTCGCTCTACTCTGTGTTAATATGGACCCGAGTCTTGGAAAATATTTGGTGACTGTTTCATAGGAGTACATTTTTATCTTAAAGCCCCGTTTTGTTTGAAAGTATATGAGTACCAATCTCGCCGACCCTTCCACTGCTGACTGGTTGACAGCATTCCTGTATTGTTATTTAGTTTGTTGCGTTAAAAGTGTCTAATTTTCCACGTCAACAGAGTTTCACAATGTATTTTAGATGGCTTCACGTGTGCTTATTTGTCTCAGTAACTGCATGACTTGGTATACATTTAAGTGGACTTCTTGTACTCATATTCATTCAATATTACACTTCGTCCATGAAAAGGATAGTTTTTTCCTAATATAATTTATCTGAATTCAAAGGGCACGTCAAGGAGTGTTTTTCATGTGTGTTTTTGTGTGCTTATATTTTACTGTAAACATTTATTGCCTATTGAGTTGTAATGTAAATATATGTGTGACAATAAAGAATGATGCTGACTTTCAAGTACACTGTAATAAATATGCGCAGTAGTGGCAGGCTAGCCTGCCATTCTACGTAAACTCAGCTTGATACTGGCGAAAATGAAATGGGCCTGAGCGGGCCCGTCTAACTTAAAGTGTCGGGCCAGGCCGGGCCGGGTGTCGGAAATCGACAGCAAGCCGGCCCGGGCCAAAGTAACAGCGGGCTGAGCCGGGCCGGGCTCTTAAACATCGGCCCGTGCAGACCTCTAGTGTGTAGCCATGTTGGTGTAGTGCTTTTTAAAGTTGATTTGGCGGCAACTTTAGGCTACACCGGGCATGCCTGCACTGATGAAGCTGCCAAGCGGAATGGGGGGACAAAGGAGAATGTTGTTCCCACTGCCCTCTCCAACATTGATTTCAAGATGGAGAGAGGGGCGTCCACAAGCACCAGGAAACATGCTCCCAAGGCAAAAAAAGTTTCATGCCTTCAGTGACGACCGGGGGCTACAAGAATTTCTAGCGACAGCTCCGTCCCAGGGTCTGTTCAGAATACCGGGCAAGTACACGCTGCTAATGCAGTAACATGCCCATGTGTCTGCACCTGCTCAGTTTATTGTGGCTAGATGAACATTACAATTTTAATTTTAACCAATCAGAACTCAGGAAACAAAATGCAAGTTTGGACATGGTTCATGCATTGCATTAGATAGTTCACAGAAAGGAATATTTTTTCTTGGAGCACAGAAATGCTTCAAATGTGTGATATGCGATTGTTCCGAAAAAGAAATGCTTTTGGTGTTTGATACATGATTGTTCTGATTTCAATTACAAGTATGTGATCTAAGTATTGAAATTCCCTGCACAATGGGCTAAATCACCTTTATAACGAACGCCTCTACTACGAAAACGCCCATTTAACAAAGTAAAATAAAGTCCCAACCGATCACCTACGCGGAGAAAAAAATGGAAAGTGCAAATGAAACGCCATCGCTGGAAGTCAACCCGCCACTTCAAAGTATGCAACGTAAGGCGTCCGGGAGGGTTGTATTCTATCGTCGATTGGAAATATGTTTGTAGACATACAATTTGTGCGACCGTCACTCTTAGCAGATGGTTACAACGACGACAGAGCAACGCAGACGACAAAAGATGACTTGCTATTGTCGCTGTGCATAGGGTGCCGTCCGAAAGCACTTTAGCGGAGTGCTCAAGTGCATGCAAAGGTAACGTGCGTTTTGTCAGCTGCTCGCCACCGTTTTAGCGCGAGGCGCGAGTGAAGGCTGCAAGACAGATGCCGCAGTAAGAAGCAGTTCTACTTTCTTGCCTACTCTCATGCCTGCGCCATGCAGGAGCCAAAGCGTGAGCTTGGACCTCAAGTTCTTCAGTAATGAGGACAGTCACACTACAAAATGCAGAAAAGTGGCTGCTAGCCACTTTTCTGCTATTAGACTCCTCTCTCCCTTTAGCCTCTTCCTTGCTTCGTACCCGCACTGGTAATCTGCAGACCCTTTTAGCCCGTACGCTTCGTCACTCGCACTCCTTCGCACCCCGTGCAGTGCAACTCCGGAGACCCCTCCCCGTCCCCGTGCCAATCACCAGTTCACCAGCAATAAACAGTGCCTCACTAAGAACATTTACCAAGAGCGTCACAGACCACCTGCAGAGCATCTAATGCCCCTGTCAGACGGCAGCTAAAGTGGCATTTACGCCAAATGACATTCAGGTTTTCAAATGACATTCGAGATGGGACCTGCCAGACGACAAGTAAAATGAGAGTTAGGTGATGTTCATTGCGATTGCATTCGCTAAGTGGAATCAATCACACAGAGTATGCTTTTGCGGTAACGATTGTTAATTCGGCAATAAACTATTTTTTATATTTTGTTTCAAGTAGACGAAATTTATAAAACACCTCAAAGTGTTTCAACGAAGTCTGCTTTTTGATGAGAGGCTTGCCGCTTGGCGGCTTGGCTTGCTCAGTGGGCTCGGTGGGCTTCCTCCTTGGTTCAGCGCCGTGGCTCGTTCTCTTTTGCTTCTCTTCCGCTGCCGTCGTCGCTGTTTGTTCCGTTCGAGCTTCCCCTTTTTCAACGTGTGATGGATCCTGCGGTGGACCCCGTGGACCCTGATCCAGCTGTCGCCACTGCGATGGACGTACTGTCGTGTGCTGCGTGTGTTATGTACGTGCCCGCTCTGCAAACGAGTAGTTTGTCTGCTTTCAGCGTGGACATCAGGTCTGCCAGGAGGGAGGCGGATCTCCTCGAAGAGGAGCTTCTTGCGAACAGCATTTTGCTTGCTGCCGCTGCTGCTGCGTCAGCGACTGACGCCAAGCCGCGCAGCATCCAGGCATTCGTGAGGAAGGAGCGGTGGTCTGAAGATACACCGCCAAACTTGCCAGCTTATTTTTTTAAGCAGTCTTTTCGCGTGATGCCGTCCACGTTTTGGTACCTCGTGGATGTGTGCTGGCCGCACATGGAGCGTGAAGTGATTGCCATGCGTGCGACCATATCAGTGGAGAAGCGAGTCGGCGCTTCCTTGTAAAAGCTGTGCTCCACCGCTGAGGACAGGACCATCGCCCACCTGTCCCGCCTGGGACGCTCGACGGTCAACGAGCTGTACAAGGAGTTCTGCACAGTCATTGTCTCCGCTCTCGAGCCCGAGTGGGTGAAGATGGAAAGCGCCGCCGAGCTTGCTGAGCACGTCCGAGAGTTTGAAGCTACCTTGGACTTTCTGCAGGCCATAGGGGCACTTGACGGTTGCCATTTCCCTGTGTCGCCACCACAAGCGGATGCCACCGACTACCGAAACTACAAGGGCTGGTAAGTACCTTTTTCCGAAAGGGAACCGTATATAGCCTCCATTTTATAAGAGATTATGTTTGGATTAGCATTACAGAATCTGCATGTCCTAGCCTTCCCAAGTTTAGACCACATAGTTTCTAGCCACATTACAAAATTTTTTTTCTTCCAATCACTATTTAGGAACTTGCTGCTTGAAGACTGAGTCAGTAGAACTGTCTGACCAACATTGCTAAAGTGTGGTTTAAAAAAAGTGTTTTTTAGCCAATGTGTTCCATTACCTTATTGGGGGAAGGTAATTATGTGGTGACCCAGCAGACTAATTGAGTGGTTTGCCATGCTTCTATGCAGGTACAGCATTCTCCTTTCCCTGGTGGACCATAGATACCGGTTCCGGTATGTCAACGTCGGAGCGCCAGGACGGTGCCATGACGCCCATGTCTTCCGAAGGTCGGCACTGGCAGACGTTCTGGAAGGGCCAACGTTCCAGAAGCCCATGATCACCATCAATGGGACCGCCGTGCCACCACTGAACCTCTGTGACCAAGCATTCCCGCCTATGTCCAACCTGTTGAAGCCGTATCCGCGGAAGGACGTCACGGACAACTCCACGCAGGCGGGGTTTAACAAGCGGCTGTCAGCTGCAGGCAGGATCGTTGAAAATGCCTTCGGCCAAGTGAAGGCACGGTTTCGCCTGATCCTGAAACGCATGGAGTGCGACGTCAACAATGGCCGCCTGGTCGTACGAGCCTGCTGCGTCCTCAACAATATCTGTGAACACTTCAACGATGGTGTTGAGGCCCAGTGGCTCAGGGATGCCCAGCGTCCCTGTCCGCAACCCCCTCATCTTTACGTTCCATCTCTCCATACCCAGGCTCGGCAAACTAATCATGGACGCAACTTTGCACCTCGCACACCCTAAAGTAATTTCTAAAGCACCCGCCCTAACTTACTGTCGTCAGACCAACTTATGATCTCTTCTAGTATGCAGCAACCAGTCCGCAACCCCCTCATCTTTACGTTCCATCTCTCCATACCTAGGCTCAGCAAACTAATCATGGACGCCACTTCCCACCTCGCAGACTCTAAAGTAATTTCTAAAGCACCCGCCTTAACTTACCGTCGTCAGCCCAACTTATGGTCCCTTCTAGTACGTAGCAACCAGTCCGTAACCCCCTCATCTTTACGTTCCATCCCTTTATACCCAGGCTCAGCAAACTAATCATGGACGCAACTTCCCACCACGCAGACACTAAAGTGATTTCTAAAGCACCCGCCCTAACTTACTGTCGTCAGACCAACTTACGATCTCTTCTAGAATGCAGAAACCAGTCAGCAACCCCCTCATCTTTACGTTCCATCTCTCCATACCCAGGCTCGGCAAACTAATCATGGACGCAACTTCCCACCACGCAGACTCTAAAGTAATTTCCAAAGCACCCGCCCTAACTTACCGTCGTCAGCCCAACTTATGGTCCCTTCTAGTATGCAGCAACCAGTCCGCAAAACCTCTGATTTTGCTCCCCTGTACCACGCCGTGCGGCACCCCGACATGTCTTGCATTCAAACACACCGGCCCTCCTCCCAACCTGCCAATGAGAATCCCTCCGGCCCTTCAAAAGCGTCACAATCAAATATTAGATAATGCTGCTTTCCACCTAGGGAAGGAATGTCTGAAATGTCATAATGACCACTATGCTGGGTTACACCAAAACCTCATTGTTGCTAAAAGACTCATAATGACTTATCTTTCCCCTCTCACTCACGCAAACTTGTCAACAAAATTCTTGAAGTCAACTCGTATCTCTATGCCGATGGTGTCTCCTCTATATCAAGGAAACTAAACACTCTCTTGCCCCGAAATGATCAGGCCGCCATCCAACGCAATGATGATGTTACCATACCTGACGATTTACCCCTCACTGCCCCTGAACACGTTATCTTATCGAAGGGCCTGCCCTTCGTCCCTGCACTTCAAAAGGCGACCTGACCCTTTTTCTTTACATGTAGAGAGCGAACAATTCTTCTGACGCCTACTCTTAGATGCCCACTTCACCCAGCACCCGTCTAACTTTAATCGCACCATGTTCGACACCATTAACCCAAAGACTAGTATCTGGACCCCGCTTCCCACCAAACATTTTGAAACTGACGATTCAATCAAAGCATGTCGTAGCATCCTTGCCAACTCATCTAGCAACCTAATC